TTAAATATGAATATTAACTGTTTCTGTTAATAATTTACTTATTTTTTTTACCTATAAGTGCCATACTAGATCCTGTAAGAAACGAAATACTTCTGAGCCGTGACTGACTCGGCTGTGACCATCAACAGGTGGTAAACGTGGAGCTTTCAGATTGAACTGCAGGCAGTGTGAGAGGAGATAGATCATAGTGGATCAATAAAATAAACACAGCATGGCTCAGAAAATATGGAAAACCAAGGAAACAGTGAAATATCTATAATATGTAGAGATGAAAGGGCCGCAAAGAGACACAGAATGACAAACAATACACAAAACAGAGACGAATGACAAGAAGGACTGAGAGGAGAATCCAATCTACTGGATCAATAAATAAATAGATCAGAACCAGAGAACAGAGGAGCCAGTTGGTGGAGATACATCCAGCTGATGGAGGAACATCTTTCTACATCTGATGGTGGAATATCTAGGATGTGGAGACAAAATGACCACAAGGAGACACGAAACGACAAAAGCAACACAGAAAACAACACAAATGAGACACAAAATGGCAAAAACTGTAACAGGAGCAAAACCAAAGTGGGGTTCAGAGAGCTAAGAGGCTGATTCTGAGTTTGGCAGGACATCCTACAGCCGATGGGCCCAGACAGGAAAGTTCTGGCGACCTTTTAGCAACAAGATGAGAATGAGGAACCATTAGTATCGATCTGGCTCTTAGGGAGTCCGTAGATCTCAGACAGAGGCTGGAGTCAGATCATTTACGACTTTAAAAACCTGTTAAACTCACAGGTAGCCAGCGGCTGAGTCTCTGCTATCAGTATCCGTGGACGTCACATAAAAGCGTCTCATGACCTTTTCTAAATCCGCAGCAGAAACAAACGACCTGATCTCGGTTAGCCGCCTGTCAGTGACGGTTTATTTAGTCCGGTCGGGGCATCAGGATGATTGCGGACTAGTCGTCGGGTCAGGGTGTGAACTGGGCCGGGGCGGTATCTGCTCCAGTGGGCAGCGTTTTACCGTCCAGATGGCTGCGTCGGGGTAATTCCCCTTAGAAGGGCTCGACCGCTAATCCTCCACAGAATCCCCACCGGCCTGATCTCACGCCTGCACGGGGGGGAAACCACGGTCCGGCTGCAGGGCGGACGCCGAGCTTCTGGTGGTTTCAGCTCCACGCCAGGAGCCTAACCAGTCGGCATAAAGCAGAGATCCAGCTGCTCGGTGTGGTGTGAGGTCTGGTTCAGAACAAAACAGGAGCTGACAGCAGAGAGGAGGAAGCCACAGATCAGGTCAGGCTGATCACATGAAGACTTAAGCTCAGTGTGGGAACTATTTATGCAATATGGGACCTTTGACAACCAGGTACACGTTTCTGACTCTTCTTTGTGTGTCTTTAGAGATTTAAGAAAGCGTTTTAGTGATCTTGTCATGTAGAATAAACTGTCGTGCTAGCCTCTGAGCTAACAGCAGCACTTTCTGTACATTTCAAGCCATGAGTGAAAGTTTCATTCGATTTTGCTCGAGGTGAGATATCTGGGTTCCTCCTCTGAGAGATTTTGCACTAATTTAGGGTGAAAATGTCTTTATTTGTGCTAATTTAAAAAACTGGTGAACATTCAAACCATAGTGGAATATTTTTGGAGCTACTTCCACAACATGTTTAATGTTTTTTTTAAATCTTATAATTCACATTTTTAGAATAAAGACAGACACCGTGCTGCAGAAAACAGACACATATTTCACTTTCATCTCATTTTCAGGCGCTATATTTTATTATCATGTGTAACATTACTCATTACGTCAGTGTAATTGTCTGCATTACTTCTTTACTGTTCTATTCCAGCCTTATTTTTGCTTTATTTCAGTAATATTTTGTCTTTATATCTTCCTGTTTCTCTACTTTTCAGGCCCTGCACTTCTTATCTTCTGCCATTTTGTTTTTTTTTCTGAACAAAGTCTGGCATCTCTGTGTTATCTTAAAATATTGAGGGAGATTCCTGAATCTATAATTCAAACCAGAGCCTTTTTTTATTAGCAGATTTATTTCAGGGCTGCTGAGCCTTTTAATATTTGCCTTTCTGTGTGGGTGTGTTTCGTTTCACCCTGCTAACATTATGTCAATATAATCGGATTAATGTGCGACTGTTTGCTGCCACACCGGACAGGAGAACCTAATGTGTGTGCAGGTCTGGACTCTCACTTTAATGTATTTTTTATTTAATAAGGGGCGAAGCAGCTCAACATAGTTCCCATACAGAACCTGAAACCAATGTGCTGCACAGTGAGTTTATAGCTATTGCTAATTTTACATGCACCAAACTACTAAAATATGCAGTTTTTATTCCTGTAAAACCACAAAACACGACAGACATGCAAGTACGATGAATTAAAATTATAATAAAATGCATTTATTATGCTCAGCAATAAAATTTCTCCCTTTCATGCACGAAACTGGGTTATTTTAGCCTCCGTTTCATGCTCAAAATGTACGATTATATAATATAAAAGCCACTTATGAACCAGTTTTATCTATAATTGCATGAGGTTACAGTAAAAGACAATTATATGACCTTGATTTATTTATTTTTTTGAAGTGCATCCAGCTGACACATGCAGCTGCAGCTCATAAAACAAACATGATGTGAAATATATCCTGAGGTCTGACTTTCTGTTCTCTGTGTTTGTGCACATTCGCTTCCTCTGGTTTGCTGCTGCTGCTGCTGCTTCTGCTGGATCGACGCTGCTCTGCTCTCGGTGAGTCGCAAAGCATTTTTAACAGCAATCATTCAGCTTTCTCTTTCCATACTTTGCTGCACTGGTGGTTTGGTTGTTTGTACCTCCTGATTCGTACATGTCAGACCTGCATGCTGCTTCACACTATAAGCCAATTAGCTGAGCTTCTTTAATCTGGATGTGGGTGTTGGTTTGTATGTAAGTGAGGGTGTGTGTGTGTGTGTGTGTGTGTGTTATCAGTGGGAGAAGCCATGCTTGTGTTATGCAACGACCAGTTTGTGACAGCTGTGAAGCGAAGAAATGAATGAAAGCGGGAGAAGAAATGAACATAATCAAAAAATCAACGGTTTGCCCGTCAAAAGTGAAAGATTTTATGTGTTTGTTTTGGGAAAAGAAATATGAATTATGTTAGAAACTTACCTCATAAGTTTACATCTTAAGGTTAAGTACAATCAGAAATGAGCACACCCTGACATTATCACTTCAATGACAAATGAATCAAAACTGAAACACCTCCCAAATA